ATCTTCCCCTGGACCAATTGTTATTGCCGTCTGCTGATGTCACGGGAACGAGCGTTCGCGACAAAATGTCTGGTGCAGTGGTACCGTCGCCCCATTTCGGCCGCCAGACGCGACATGAGGGACGGGCCTGCCAGGGGCCCGCTGACCTGTACTGTACAGCCCGCCGCAAAAGTGACGGGTGTCACTGCGGGCGGACACGTGCAGTCAGTGATACTGCCGCTGCTGACTGATTTAGGGGCCGCCTTGACCCTCTGAAGCCAGACTGCCGTTGTGCAGCGCGTTGGGGAAGATTCCGGGCCAATCATAAACTGAGAGGATCGAGCACACGCCCTCAGCGAGAACGGCCAGGCGACCTATGCTGTTGTCAGTTTCACGCTACTGCTCGTTGGCGTTTGTTCCACTTTCGAAGCGCGGTCATTATTCCACTGAACCTGGCTTATACTGCCACTGCTTCCTGACGCGTGGGATTCCAGTTTGGTTTTAGGTCCGGCGACTCTTTTTAGTCGCTCTACTCGCCGTGTGTCACACTTTGGCCTGCGCGGATCGTGTGTACATAAAACGCATGGACTTTGCCGTGCATTTGAAAAGAGACAAGACGGTCAGTTCTCATCTTTTCCGGACGACCACTCGTTTCTTATTGTTCCTCTTCATTGGAAAGAGTTTCGATCTCATCCTGTGACCGACCAACTTGTGACCCAATCCATGTCAAGTCAAGCCTCATTAATGTATTGGTTAGAGGGACACGTTGCTCTGAGCACAGACCTCGCTATGAGGAAGGCTTTGTTCGTTCGCGAGACCACTTCAGTTCAGTGCACTGTTCGTGGTCCTTTAACCCTTGCAGCAGTGCAACCAATGCGTCACACTTCAGCGACTTGTCGCGTCTTACACACTGTACAGCGTCAAAGCTCGAGATGCACTCATGTTCTGCATCCTGTTTGGAATGATATGTGATTCGCGGCCGTAAAGCCAAGCGCAACATTGTCGCTCGGCTGCTGCTCCGCATGCGGACTGAAAGTCGTTGTCGTCGCTCTGTCTCTCTCACACCTGTACGGGACGCCCCATGAGTGCGAGAGAGACAGAGCGAGACTCTCGGAGCCCAGCTTGCTCCGCTCTCGTAAACCGGCCGCTCAGTCAATTTGGGCCGCGGGACGCGTGTCGCGGGACAGGCCGCGGGCACAAGGGCGTATCTGCTATGGATTTCCGATCCGACACACTGTTGTGTATACGTTGCCGACCCGACGTACATAGAGTAGCACTGCAAAGGTGCCCACATCGGAAGCACCGCCATTCAAGTTGCAGTTATATCGTCTGTCAAGAGTTGATCATAGGGTTACTTGATTGTGAAATTCGATCCTCTGCGAGCGAGCGAGCGTCCACAATGAGTCTTGCAGTGGTGTCACTACTTATCGCCGCCAAATATGTTTCGGCAGTGTAGGGCACGCATCACGCATTCCGTGTGTAGGGCTCCAACAAGGGAGGGGAGGGGGGGGGGAGTCTCGCGACAAAATCGACTCGACGACGCAAAGTGAATTCGGGTGGTCCTGGGCGAAGCGAAGAAGGGGAGTTTTCTTGTCCTCCTCTTTTTTTCCAGATGCTTTTTCCCCCGGCGGACCGAGACGGGGATAGGTGAATAAAGCCAAACAGAATACAGAGTGCACTTTTCAGGGTGAATATTTTGAATATTTCAAGTAAAAAAAATATTTTTTCAGTGAAAGCGCACCAGCCGAGCCGAAAGCCTTCCTGCCTTGCAGAGCGGCCCGGTGTGTCGCAGTGCAGCGCTGGTGCAATACGTCGTCAGGCAGCAAAAAAAAAAGAGGGCAGGTCTGTTTGAAAAAGAGGCGCCATTTTCATACGCATCGTGTGTGTGTGTGTGTGCGTAGGGGATGCGGCGGTGTGATTTGTGCCCCCACTATCGACGAGTCGCCTGCCTTAACTCACTTAGCGGACACTGAGCACACTGAGGTACAGACCATAGGCAATTGACCCACGTTTTCGTTCCATAAATTACGAGCCGATTATGCCGGGCGAGGGGTAGCGGCGGCGTGCCGTCCGGGAAGGAGGGGGTGGAGGTCGTCAGGTGCAGACGCTCCACCGCTGCGAGGGTGGGGACTGCTTGCCGCAGCTAACGCCGCAAACTGCACGCGGCGTCTCGAGTGCGAGACAAGGACGGCCTCGAGCCAAGTGACGCGTGAGGTTAGGCAATGCCTCCGTATCTACCCTTTCCGACCAAATTCTACCCTTTCCGACAAAAAAAAAACTCCCTCAAGTGGCTTCAGTAAGGTAGGCAACCGTAGGTTCACGCTTACGTCGCCAGCTGGGGAGGTGTCAACTCAAGTGGCTGTGCTAGGTAGGCGAAGCGTAATGGGCACTCACGTCCGTGATCGCCCCTTGGCTTGGCTGCGGTCCTAACTCACGGAAGCCACCGCACCGCGCCAGGCTGGCTGGCAGGCTGGCTGGCAGGCTCGGGGACCGCGAGGGTGCCCCCTCCCCCGTTCCACGCCGGGTTAGCGGTCGGCTTAAGCCTTAAGGCCCACAGCGCTGTCACGGCACTGCCAGTGTCAACGCGAGGGTAGCTGGTACACGTAGACAGACGTGCTCAGCTTATGCCGAGGACGGCCCGCGGGCCTGAAGCCGCCCCGCCCCGCCCCGCCCCGCCCCGCGCATAATAGATTCCCGTCCTAGGCGTGCGTGTAGCCCCATGGCGGCCCCATCGTTTATCGCGCATATTGGCAGTGCAGGCGACGACGTGCGCGCCGTGCCCCCCGGCCGCCACCCAGGGCCCCAGGGGGTCATTCGCATGGAGCCCCGCGAGTGGAGTGGATAGAGATACAGCGCCGTGCCGCGCCAGGCGGTCGCGGGGCGTGCGTCCGGGGAGACAGTGATGGTATCGGGCCGCCACGTTGCAGCGCTGCATCAGCATAATCCACGAGCATCCTTTCCAGAGATGAGGTGAGCGGATACGGCGAGACCACGCCGATAGCAGACGAGCAGACGACGTTGGCCGAGACAACGGCCAGCAGCTTGCACGCGGCGGACGGTACCTGCACACTTCATGCACCTTTGGACTCTTTGAGGGTAGGTTACGCGCACACTGTCATAAGCTTCTGAATAATATTATGCATGACAACGCATAATTTTTACGTTTTTAAGCGCGATATTATGCAGAAGCAAAAGGTGCATAAGGATTTAGTGTGTAGACATTGGTACCTAGACGACGTCCAGTACCAGGACAAGGGCCAGCAGACGACGCCCCCTGCCCCCGGCCTCGTGAAGGCCGTGCCCATTGTTTATTGAATGCCGGCGGTGCGCTGGGCCCTTGGCTGGGCCCCGCTCACAGACTCGGCCTGGCTCGGCCACGCGGGACCCTCGCGGGGGCAAAGTCCCCCCAACGGCCGAGAAAAACACGGCAGGTGCGCGGCAGCACAACGCGCCCAACTTTTTCCGCCATTTCTCTCTCTCCAGCGATTCCGAAAGGATCGCTGCGTCGCTCCGTCTCTGTCGCACTCATGGGGCGTTCCATAAGAGTGCGAGAGAGACACAGAGCGGTCCTTCGGAATCACTCGACAGAGCGTTGCGCACACTACAAATAATCCGTTTTGTGTCTGGCCCGCCCCCGGCGGCCCCGGGCACAGGTGTAGCCGCCAGGCAGTCTGCCTCCAGTGTGCCCGCGTTTGATGGATGCGCTGCCGAATGTGATGACACCGCGATCACCGCCCTCTCGCAGTGTGGCGTCCCGGGGCGCGTCAGAAAAGCGCGCGCGGACGGCGGCACACTGGTCCCAGGCGAGGCAGAGCTCGTGGTTTCGGACGCAGCCCTCGACGCCATCCATCTGCATCACCCCATTGAGCCGCCTTCCGAACGATTAGTCGCCGGTGGGGTAAGGTGCGGCACGGAGGAGGAAGCTCGGGGAGAGAGAGAAGACGAGGAGGAAAAGGAAAACAACGAGAATAAGAGGTAGCTAACACCTTCTCTAGGTATGTGTTTCAAGGTAGAGCAATGAATGATTTGTTGAAAATCAGAACGGTGGCGAAGTTCAGGGAAAGGAGAGAGACAGAGACAGGGAAGTCCTCAAAGGCGCCGGGCTGCTGGCGCTTCGCATCTCTCTCTCTCTCAGCAGCCTGCTCAGCGCTCCGCCCGCTCGGCTGCCTGCTTTCGGTCACACGGTTCGAACTTCCACGCCGCCAGCCACCGAGGACGTTGCGCCGCGCCCGACAGTGGCTCTCCGTCTCTCTCGCACTCCATCGCTCCTCCAAGACGCGCCACTTGACCGGAGGAGGCCGCAAGCTGGCGGCAGGCTGGCTTCGCTCGGCGAACTCGAATTCAAACTCGACCTGGACGAGGAGCAATATCTCGCGTACTCGACGACCCGGAATGCGGAAACGGAAGGAGGGGGCGAATGGAGAACGGAGGGAGAAGGAGAGGGGAAGGAGACGAAAGAGGACAGGTAAAAGGAGAAGCATAGGAAGTTGGAGAAGGAGAGGACGAGGAAAAAGAAGCAGAAAAAGGAGAGAAGGAAGGAACGGAAAAAGGAGAGAAAGTGAGGAAAGAAGAGAAAAAGAAAGAGAGGAAAAAGAGGAAGAAGAAAGGAAGGAAGGAGAAAAGGGAAAAGGAGAAGAGGGAGGAGAAGAAGAAGGAGGAGAGGCGGCAGGCAAAGGGGATGTTGCCGCGCGGATATGTGGTCCGAGGTGCGGGGCGGCGGGGCTGCGGGGGCGCGGCTCGCAGGCCTCCCTCCCCTCCCCTCCCCTCCCCTCCCCCTCCGCCACGGCGCCTCGCACGGCCACTGCCGAGCCGCCGACACTATCGAAAGACATTACGACTTCCGCTTCCGTAGCGCCATGCGCTGTACAGTCAACAACAACAAGAGGCGGCCGGCGCGCCAGTCAGGTGGCGGTGGTGCACTGTGCGTCGCTCGGCGTCGCTCGGCGTCGCCAGGGCGATTGCTTCCGAAGTCGCAGATAAGAGTGCGAGGCGGGCGTTTCAATTTGGAACGAGGTACTTACAGTCTCTCCAGCGCAATCAGGTCCGACAGCGCGCCCCTCTCCACCGTGTGGATCTGGTTGTCCATGAGGTGCCTGGCGACAAGAACGCAGAAAAATGGTGAGACACGCGGTGACAACACGGACAGCACATTTCAGATAAGACCTTGCAAAGAAAAAGTTGCTGGTCATAACACTGTACTTAACAGGTGCACAAAATGCTTCGTGAGATTTTAAGCGTGCACTACACAAACTCTTCGTAAACGAGAGAAGGCTCGGTGGTTTCCGGACTGGGCAACCTCCGGGGTGGGGTGGCGTTGGCGGGGCGTGGTGGGGCGTGGTGGGGCGGGGCGGGGCGTTCCCCGTCGTCGTGCTCAATCAGTTTACTCAAGCCGCCCTCGCACCTGAACCCCGTCCGACTTGGGGTCGTCCTCGCCCCCGGGCCCTCCGCACCGCTCCGCTCCGCGCCGTGTCGCCCGGGGCACGGACCCTCGCCCCCGGAACCCGGCCAAACAGCCCCGTCGGCCCCGGGCCGGAAAACGCGGTGGACACTCCGAGAGGAAAGGCCGGCCGGCCTGCTCACCGATTCCGAGAGTCGTTGTCGTCGCTCTGTCTCTCTCGCACTCACGGCGCGTCACGTACGACTGCGAGAGAGACAGAGCGACGACAAGGACTCTCGGTCTGGGGCGAGGCGGGGGGCCGCCAGAGGGTCAAGGTGCGTGTTGACGCCTCAAAGGGGCCGCCCTGCGCCCTGCACTGTGAATGCGCCCCCTCAGCTGGCAGAATTTAATGGAGCCGAAGGTCTCGGCACTTCACGCTGCTGCCGCCACCGCCGATCCCAACCCTTCCATCAGCGCCAGCCTGTCTGTCTGTCTGTCTGTCTGCCCGCGCGTTAATCCGTCTACCTGGCTGCCTTCCGCGTTTTGAGTGCCCCATTCGGTTCTCCGCGCCACCGCGATAACCACGCATTCCAGCGAACCGACAAGCGACAAGCAACCCCTTTGCCGCTCGCCGAGCCTCTTCATCACTGTGCCCGCTTCCCCGAGGCGGGGAGGGGCGCGGCACAGTGGGCCAGAAGACCGGTGGAAGCGGCCGAAATTCTAGACGCGTTTCGAGCTCCAGAGTCGCTAAACGGGACTCGAATCAGACGAGTGACCCCACCAATGGATTGCTGTCCGAACGAGGAATCCATTGGTGGGGTCACACGTTCGTTTTGAGTCCTGTTGAGCGACTCTGGAGCTCAAGACGCGTGAACCCGCCTCGGCAAAAGTCGGCGCGGCGTAGCTGCAGCGCACGGCCCTGCCGTTGCGGTGCGTGGCGGACGTTACGCGCATCGGGCTATAAATAAGTCATCATCAGGCGGCCGTAACGCGCCGCACCACGCCGCCGTAAAATAAAGCATTTTTCGGCGCGTAGGTCGCATGCTACACGGCCGTCATCAGGGTGTCATCGAGCGCCACACCGGAGCGGAGAGTGCACGTCGTGGACGAGGTGGATGTCGCGGACGTGGTGAACGTCGAGGACCGCGTGGACGTCGTGGTCGTGGTCGTCGTCCGCGGCGACAGTCTCCTCCGTCATCTCCACCGCGGCGAGCGCGCGTGTTTTTCCGACTTTCCAAAGTAAACACGGAGGCCGGCAGGGAAGCTGCCTTTCCACGAAGCGCGTCCATCCGTCAGAGCTAAAAGTTTACGTAAACGCCGAGGGACGCGGCGGCGCGCGTTAAATCAGACCGCCACAGGCCGAAATAAAAATGATACGGAGTCGATATGCCGAGCCCCGCGGTTTCACAGTGTACAGACGGGGTTTTGTTTTGCAGTGCAGCTATCCCTTACAACTCACTGAGTGCCCTAACCTCTACACTGTTATTGGCCTCGCTCCAGTGGCCACGGCCGCCACGGCAGGGAGGGGCGCTAGGGCTGCAGGGCGGCGAGGGCGCAGCGATCCCGGCCTCCTAAATGCATAATAATTCCATCACAGCCTCGCGGAGCACCGCACTGCAATCCGCAACCCGCAGAAAAAATAAAAATAAAAATTGAGCTGCACGCAACGCGCAGTGAGCCAGAAGACCGGCGGCGCCAAAATTCTAGACGTGTTTTGAGCTCCAGAGTCGCTAAATGGGACTAAAACCAAACGTGTGACCCCTCCAATGGATTCCTCGTTCGGAGAGCAATCCATTGGTGGGGTCACACGTTCGGTTCGAGTGTTATTTAGCGACTCTGGGGCTCAAAACCCGTCCGCGGTTTTGGCCGCCTCCACCGGTCTTCTGGCCCACTGTGCTCCGGCCGGAACGGGACGGGACCGCGCTGCCCTCCAGACAAAGGTGCAAATAAATCAGGCGCTTTAAGGACACCCCCTTCGGACGGCTCAATTTCACAACCTGGCGCGCAGCGCCAATTATCTGTCTTGTTGCGAAACGCGGGGGGCTTGTTTTCGCGATGCAGCCGGCTCGGCTCGGCTCGGCGGCGTGCGTGTGTCCCGGCTCGGCTCGCGTCCCCGCGGGGCTCGGCTCGTCGCCCTCCCGCAGGATTGGGGGAGCGAGGGTGGCACAAAGGCACTGCCCTGCTCGGCCCCATCGGAGGGGACCTCTTTAAGGACGCACTCCGTCCTCTCAGCCCCGCAGTCCGAACGGCGTCGCCCCGTCTCTCTCGCACCCGCACGCCACGCCCCGCGAGTGCGAGAGAGACGGAGCGACGGGGGCGCCCTCCGCACTCGCCCCACGGGGCCGTTATCCGCGGGAAATCGGGCGCGCGGACAGCAACACTCGGAAGTGGACGCGTCTCGATAGAGTCGTCGTTTTTAAAAGGCGCGGACGCAAGGGGCCGTCTCTCTCTCTCCCCATCTCTCTCTCTCTCTCTCTCTCTCTCTCTCTCTCCTCTCTCTCTCTCTCTCTCTCCTTTTAGTTGCAGAAATCGTCGTGGAAACAACCTTCCCGGCCGCACTGCCTACCCACCAGGCGCCATTGCCCTTACGGCGGCAGAGGCAGGGTAGGCAGTCCCGTTAAACAGCCGTGTCGGCGGGACGGTATTCTCCGATCCCAAGGGGTTCGTGTGCGCGCCAAAACGCGCCGTGAACTTTCAGTGTGTTAGATTGGTGCCCGAATTGGAAACTGGCACGGCGCCACTCCGGAAGTCCTTCCAAAATTTTGGGCGGCGCAGTCAGGTCATGGACCCTCTGGCGTAGTATCCACATGCTTTCAGACTGATTCCGAGAGAGTCGTTTCCGTCGCTCTGTCTCTCTCCCTGTGTATTAGGTACGTCCTGCGTAGGTGCGAGAGAGACAGAGCGACGAAAACGACTCTCGGAATCAGTGTGCACAGTCCGGCCGCCGCCCCGCCCCCTGCACGACGCCGTAACGCCTCACGGCCGAAACTGCAGTGGCCGGTGCTTCGGGCTTCCGAGCGACTCCGAGGACTCGTGCCGTCGCGCTCTGTCTCTCTCGCACCTATGCGGGGCGGGGGACGCACCAACGAGCGCGAGAGAGACAGAGCGACCACCTTCGGAGTCAGTCCGCCGCAGTTGTAAAAGGCGCACGCCGCGATGGGCTGCTAATGGAAGGACCGCGATGCGATACAGGAGAGAGAGAGAGAGAGAGAGAGAGAGAGAGAGAGAGAGAGAGAGAGAGAGAGAGAGAGAGAGAGAGAGAGAGAGAGAGAGAGAGAGAGAGGGAGAGAGAGACGGCGAGTGGGCGGCTGAACTTGCGAAAAGGGAGGGGGGACAGGGGTGGAGGAAAATCGCGAAAACAAACGTAACATGAAAAATGAACGGATTAAAAGGGAAAGTGTTTTTAATGAGGTAGGTCGGGGGGACGGCAAGCTGCTAACCAGTGCCCCTTGCGCCGTTCTTACCACCCTCGCCAAACTAAACACAGAATGCAGGTCCGCGGACACAGCAAAATCTTTTTTTTTTTCCCTTCTGGATCTGCAAAACAAGTTCCTGTCCCTAGCGTGATGCATTCCCAGGCACACAAGTTCGCGGCCCAACGGATTTCCCTGTGGCTGGTCGTCCTCCAGTCCGGGCCAACTTCTCCAGCGGCCTCTCCAGTGGGTGCCCCAATCAGCGGTGGCGGGCGGGGCGGGGCCGAGGCGGGGCGGGGACTCCCTGGATGGACAGCGCCAAACTTGGACGTTGTTGGCGGGGTCAGTCCGAGTTCGGGGAGCAGAGTTCTCGCACCGGCGCAGCGAGATGACGTGGGGTGCGTCGGGGCGGTCTGCGCGAGCCCGGAGTCTGAGTTGCTCCACTCCACTGGCATACTGGACAGCGAAGTGCCACGGCGCAGCAGCAGACTGAATCCGAGAGTCTCGCTCTGTCTCTCTCGCACCGCCAAGCAACGCCCCACGTGTGCGACAGAGACAGCGCGACGATCCTTCGGAGTCAGTCGGCAGTAACGCAGCGGAGTAAGCTTGGGTAGGCCGATCTTGATCTTCGCGGGACTGGAGGCCGAAGACGAGAGAGTTTGGAGGGGCAGCGTGTGCCGGATGAGCTATTCATGGGGGCGGCCGCGACGCGTGCGGAACGGAGAGGGAAAAAAACGCGTGATGGATGGTAAACTTGCGGCGATACCCCGCGGGGCGGAGAGAGAGAGAGAGAGAGAGAGAGAGAGAGAGAGGGGGGGGGGGTCCAGGCTGGACACACAAAGGAGCCAATCGGGAAGGGACGAGACCGCATCGGGGGACAACAAGTACGAGGAAAAAATGGAGTCATAAGTTTGAATCCACCCGGGGAGTTTTGATCAATAACTCTGCATTCCAGCATTTCAGCTCGGCACCGGGCGAGCGATAGGTACACATGTTGTACGGAGTTCTTTGAGGAATGAAAGTACGATTTAGAATTTTATACAGTACTTGTCGGATCTAGTTCATCACCTCAGTGACTTCACTGACATTTCGTCTTTCTACAGTCCGTTCAATGTAACACGGTCCCCTTGGCTGGCGGGGCCAACTGCAACCCTTTCCTCCGAATCCGTCCCTGGGATTGAGGCCGGCCTTCCCAGTGGCCTCGCCTGCCCCAAGTCGGGCCCGCGGCCCAAGGCGCCGCCCGTCCCTGGAGGCCCGCGGCCCGGCCTGGGCCCGGCCTGGGCCCGAGGTCCCCGGGGCAGAGCATTACGGCTACTGGGGGCGAAATAAAGAGCAGAGGGGATATTAAAAAGAGAGATAAACACAATTTGTGGAGCGGAGGGTGAGGAATTATTAAGGCCGGGGCGCAGCGCGCGGCGTCACAGGCGACTTGGGACGCGCCATCATGACAACTGGCGACATTTCGAGAAGCAGAGCTTTTCGTCAAGTCGGCCAGCAGACTCGCAATCAAACTCCAACTTGCTTCTTTCCGCTTTCAAAAAGCGACAACAATAACGAAAAACTTTTTAAAAAAATTCGAGCACTTACAAGATCCGCAGGTGGCGCAGGTCCTCGAAGTCAGTCTCGTACAGGATGGTGATGTTGTTGCCCTGCAGGTCTCTGCAACACAAAATAAAAGCGACATCTGTTGTGAGGCTGCCAATAGTGAGTGAAGATATTGGGCGCCAGTCGGCGGCGATGGGTGTTCCGGGTGGTCAAAAGTTATCAAAAGATACGGGCTGCCCCTCCGTCCCCCGTTACGCCCCTGAGTTATGGCGGCCAGGGCTGGGGCTACAGCCCCCCGGCCCGGCTCGGCCCGGCCCTCGCCGTGACAATATTGCGGCCGGCCTAAGCTGACACTGCCAAATTGGCTTTTGATTTAATTTTAAACCGGACTAGGGCTCCTTTGTTGCTTCTTTCCAAATTGTCCACACCCCCCAAAAAACAGGTTGATAGAAAACGCAGACAAAAGACAAAATTCTGGAGAGACGCTGTTTCTTTCTGCTGGACAGTCCATGACGAAGGTTTCAACTTTTTCTAAGTTGATGTTGAAGATGTTGCTTAAAAATCACAACATTTTAGATCAAACATGGTAAAAACGGTTCCTGGAAATCACCCGTGTCTTTACCATAGGCTTCCTGAGAAAATCAGGAACTGTTTTTACCGTGAACACATTACCTACAGAAACGAACAGTGTTAATTAATTTCCAGTTAAAATTCTAGCGAGTGTCCGCCGTGTCGTGCGCAAGGTCAGTGAATCTGCAGGCATGCTCAAAGAGTGTGTTCCACCGCTTTAGGAGCATCCCCCGACAAGTGAGTCTTCCCTCCCAGTGCACAACCCTGAATGCCAGCAGCCTGCCAGCGGCCCATGCCCCAAATGGCAGGCTTCCAACTCGCATGAGGAGTATAGGAGTGCACCCAAAGGACGCAGAGCCAATTCCGCGTACCCCTTCCACGAGGCAAGACGAGCAGCACAGCGACTGCGGACGAAATGAGACTCCGTTGCATAAAATTGCAGTATGCCGGCAAACGCGGCGTGCAACGCGCAATATTAAGACAGGCCCGCAAAACCACCACGGTGAAAACGGTTCCTGGTTTTCCCTGGAACTCCCTGGAAATCGCCTTTGTCTTCATCATAGGCTGCTTGGGAAAACCAGGTACTGTTTCTATCTTGACGGTAAAACCACATTTTTTCACACTGCACGAAAAAAACCACAGCAAAAGTACACAAATTCCTGGCAATTGTGTTATCAGGAATTTATTCCGGCGGAGAGGAGGATGCTTGAGGCAACTCGCGGCACAGCCACGTGCCGACGAGCCAGACGGGGCAAACAGCCCCAAGGCGCCTCGTTCGGACCCAACCAAAAGGAGCACAAAACACTTCCTTGGGCTAGGTTAGAGGTCCATTAAACGCTTCGAGAAGACTTCGGTTTATCGACCTCCATCAACGACCCCCGGAAGACTCAAGACCCAGCAACCTCGCGGCCGTACTCCTTGGCCGTCTGCCACTCGGTGACACGGCCGGCGACAAGGTGGCCACCGGTGCCACAAAGTGCAAGTGCAACATGCAGTGCACTCAACAGCGTCTCATTAAAAATCCATCGGCAGAGTCGTCGGCGCAAGGCGGCAGGATTTTACGACCCCTGGCGTGTGCTGCCAGGATGCGTCGTTCCGACGCTGTCTCTCTCGCTCCCCTGCGGAACGCGTCACGAGTGCGGCAGAGACAGAGCGACGAAAAGACTCTTCGGAGTCGGTCTGGCGGACGACGAGGAGGAGAAAGAGGCCCGCGGCTCGTTCAAAAGCTCGTTGAAAAATATCCATCTTCGTCACGGTCACGGGGCTCTCGGGGCTCGAAATGGTGGCCTCGACCCACAGACCTCGCCTCCTGCCCACCCTCCAAAGGCGGGCAAGGCGGGCGCCCTCCTTCACCTCAAGAAGGACGGCGACGGCTTCGTGCCGAAGACCCACAAGCACGGCCCAGGTGTGTCCGTGAGAGTGTGTCGCTGTAAGGGCCACAATGTCCTCGGGCAATAATCAAACACTTGGAGCGGAGAGAGGCACTCTTGAAAAACAAGGTTAAATCAGCAGACTTACTGAAAGAAGGGCACTGGTGAAAAATGGTTCCCAACAAGTGATTTTTTTAACAGAGAGTGTTGACTACCCAGGAACTCCCGAGAGATCGCATATGTTTTTAACAGCAGAGGTCACCTCGGAAAAACGTTTTTGCCATTGAGATGATTCTTTTTAAAAGTAGGGTACGGATATGAGGCACGAGATGAATCCCTCCACGATTTGACCTGCCTGCCAGAAGAGGACAACGACGACACATGACGGCCGGGCCTGGGCTCACGCGCAGAAAATCCATGGACCTTGAGAAGGGCACCAATCGAAATCCTCCGGAGGACCAACGCATTCCGCACTGCTCTTCCAATTCCATTCTTATTTCGGTCGCGGCTCTGCTGCAGGAGACACAGGCAACCGAGAGTCGTTTTCGTTGCTCTGTCTCTCTCACACTTACGCGTGACCCACATAGGTGCGAGGGAGACTCTCGGAATCAGTCTGCAGCCGCCGCAACCACACGGCGTCCTCTGCCGCACGAGCCGCTTGCCGATCGCAACCCAACCCTTTCCTTTTCGTTGTCTCGTCCAATGCTGTTCCTTCCAGGTGAGCGCGACGGCAAAACGGAAAGCAAGTGTGGCGTATACGGTTTTGCGTGGCGTGCCGCCCAGGGAAGGGCCCTGCCCTGCCGTGCCCTGCCGTGCCACGCCGTGCGGTCAGAGAAACCCCTCAAACTCAGACCAGAAGACACAACGAGGGCGAACCGGGCCAGTCCGCATACAAAACGAAGAAGAGAAGGACTGTCTGCTTGGGTCCCAAGAAGAAGAAGAAGAAGAAGAAGATGCCGCATGGGGAACACGATGAAGACAGTCTTCGTTGCCTTTGACTGAACGTCGTAGAACAGCCAAGCCGACACATCACACACACACACACACACACACACACAGAACGCAAGCGCACGCCCCCTACGCACTCAGAGACTCTGGGCGCGTTTCCCATCACGATACGATTAATTTCGAGTTAGTCCGCCCAAATTAAATTATCGTGTGTTTTGTTCCACCTGTCCCGCCGCGACTGGCGCGACGGTCGCCGCCACTGCGACGCGTCGCCTCGATTTAATCTACGCGCTATTTTTGAAACGCGCGCCGCGCCTCGCCTTTGTTTTTCCACGCGAGGAATAAATAGAGTGCGGGGTCGCGGCGGGTCGCCCGTCAATAACACACACTTAAAACTGTACAAAGAACCGCTCTTTGTAATACGAAGAAAACGGCGGCTTCGCAGCCTGCAAAGGAAATCGTTTGTAATACGAACGATTTTCTTTGTAATACAAAGGAAAAATTCTTCGTAGCCTACGAAGAACTTCTTCGCAGCCTGCGAAGGATTTTTCTTTTGTATTACGAAGAAAATCGTTTGTATTACAAACGATTTCCTTCGCAGGCTGCGAAGCCGCCGTTTTCTTCGTATTACAAAGAGCGGTTCTTTGCAGAAATTTATCTGTGCACTTCCTGCACCGTCCGTCGGCCGAAATCCTTCAAAGTGAAAGGAGAGGAGACGACCGCGCAAGTGAGTTTGACTGAAATTCGGCATCAGATTTTTGCTAAATTACTTTTATTTCACGTAAACAATCCGAAATGACACCGTCATGCGCGACGGAAATCCTTTTTTTTTTTTCAGTGGTCGGTGCGCCTGGCCGGCGTGGCCGCGGGGCGCACAGCGTTAATGAATTGAACGCGTCCGCACGGAGAGGTGTGGCGACGCATGATGGAGAGCTCAACGGCAGACTGAGAGCCGTCGTTCCGTCTCTCTCGCACTCGTGGGGCGTCGCGTGGGGGTGCGAGAGAGAGAGAGAGACTCTCGGAATGAGTCTGTGGGTCCGGCGACGCGCTCGACGACGCAGCGCCCGTGACGAACCGGGCGTCAGGATCTGTCGTCCCTTCCCTGACCCTGCCCTGCCCTGCCCTGCCCTGCCCTGCCAAGCCCTGCCCTGCCCTGCCCTGCCCTGCCAAGCCCTGCCAAGCCCTGCCCTGCCCGTCCGCGGGCCACCTCCACGTCGGCCACACCGCTAATAACCAAAAATGTGTTGAAGCCGGGGTGAAGCTGCCGCCAACAACAACAACTTTTGACCGCACCGGCACCGGGCGATGATGATATTGTTTCCAACACCATTCGGAAATTTCATTTTCCGCCGGCCGCGCGGCCAAAAGGAAAGAACGGCGGAAATAATGTAAAAACGTGCACGGACACACACACACACACACACACACGTGCGGACACACCGCATGGTCCGCGTCCCAGCGGGGCACAAACAGCTTTTAGGGGAACAAAAGGGCCTTTGGCGACTTTGCGCGCCCTACACTGCATCCCACATCGCCGTGTGGTGTGGCCCGCGGGGGGGAAGGGTTCCGGGTTCGTGGTGGTTCGGGGGGGTTCACGGTGTGGTTTCGGGTTCGGGGTTTCGGCCGGACGAGCAGATACAACAAGGCGTAAATATGACGCGGCGATAAGGGACGCCACCACACTGTGTGCGTGTGTGTGTGTGCGAAAATTTAAGTACACATGTGTTTGTTTCCAGGTATGTGTGTCTTTGTTTCCGCGAGTGTGTGTGGGTGGTAGTTGTAACGACGTCGGACAGGACGGGACACACATGCGTGTTCGCATGCGCAGTGTGCGCACGCAACGCAAATCACCGCGTGCGGGGGAGAGTCATAATTTTCAGCGAAGAAACGAAGTCTCCAAAAATTATCGTGTTTTACAATCAGCAAAAAAAAAACCTCATTCAACGAACGTTAATGAAAGCAGATGATCCATCGCGTATCACAACTGCTGTGATAGCCGAGAGGTTAGAGACGTGGGATCGAGTTACCGCAGGCCGGCGTTCGAATACCAGCGTCACAAAAGTTTTTTCGACTTGCTATCCTAAGGGTGGTGGTTCGAGGCCATGAGAGCGGAGCCGTGTGCAACAGACCCACATGCCGGAGGTTCGACTCCTAACAAATATTTCCATTTAATTTTACTGCCTCACCCAGTGCGGTTCAAACCCGTAAACGTGAGCCCGCTCCGAG